ACACTGACCCCAGACATCTGGAACACTGACCCCAGACATCTGGAACATTGACCCCAGACATCTGGAACGTTGACCCCCTTCAGATCTTCAAATCACAACTCATCTTTTTGTTTTCCCCTTGTCCTGTCCAGCATTGTGACTCTCAGAATTATTGTGTGAGTGTCAAAGTGACGCCCAACAGATTTACTTCCACAAGCAGAGCATCATGGCTGGCCTTAATGCTCCACTTGATATGAAAATTAAATTTTATTAGAATTTGATTTGGGCTTGTTCCAGATGTAATGGACATGGGGATGAAAAACAAAGAAGATAACAAAGCAGAAAAGTGAGAGAAGAGTTAAAATGTAAAGAAGGAGAGAGGAATAGAGGAGAGAGAGAGGAATAAAGAGAACACAAATCAACATCACTGAAGTCTGACTCTAGACCTGTGGAAAGAAAAGACGAGACAAAACTGAGAAACCACAACAACAAACAACAAATATAATGATACTTATAACATCATTAGAAAGTATTTTATACAGTACATGGTAATACAATATATATTTGATGGCCACCACAACCCAACTGAGTGTGTATCTGATGAACACCTGGATCTAAACATCTGTGTGAGCATGATGTCACTATAAGGTTTCTCCATAAAAATGTTCAATAGTGGAAACTCAAAATTCCTCTGTTCACATCAGACTTTTCACTTTCATTTCTTCTTATTTTCTTCTTGGTTTAGTCATAGCCATTTTATATTGTTTTATTTTGTGTTTTTAATGTTGTGAAGTGTCCTCGTTTGTCTTGAAAGGCGCTACCAAATAAAATGCATTATTATTATTATATATGTAAGATTTATTAACAAAAGTAGAAACACAAGTAGAGTTATGTTACCTCCTCCTGCAGGTGTACGATCCGACGGCAGCGTACCTTGGAGCTCCAGTGTTTTACGCCCCCCAGGCCTATGCAGCCATACCGGGTCAGTTCCGCTTCCCTGCAGCCAAAACGCATGTGGGAGGTCGTGGTTTGATCAGGACTCCATCTGTCAGAGGTGAGGAGGATCATGATGATCACATGACCTGATCACATGACCTGTGCCATGGAAAAAATGAGATTTCCTAAACAGACCAAGGTCTAGATAATCAGATTGATTTCAAAGCTTTGAAGAACAGCCAGCATTCACAGAAGGTCACGCTTGTCCTTTCTGAAAATGCTGGCCCATATGACTTCCTGAAGTGAAAAAGTTTTATAGAATTAACTGTCCAGACTGAACATTGTTGGATTTTTTACCTGGATTAGTGAGCATGAACTTTGATGTTTTATTGAATTACTTCCAGCACTAGCTTTCAGCCCCTCCCCTCCGTCTGAGCTGTCATCAATACTCCGCTGCAGACGGGAGGAGGGTCTGAGTCAGGACTAAAACACGGCACTGTGTCATGTCCATCGAACTTTGAGGATATTAAAAACTAGTCCGTCCTGTTCCTCACTGACTGGTCACAGTAAGACTGATTAAAACCCGGGACAGTAGAAAACTACTGGAGCATGGTGAGTGCAAATAATACACATGACCTTGACATTCAAGGTCAAGGTCCAGGTCTAATTGTCTTTAGTGTCATTCACATCTCATGTTGTACATGT